AGGCTGCATCAGCACCGCGCCTTGCTCTGACGTCCAGCATACTTCGTCTCCACTTATGGTCAATGGTGAAGTGGTCGATCTGGTTGTCAGGCTTCCCATTTGGTGAAGTCGGAGTGGTCTTTTGGATCTTCCTGTGTGGGTAGATGGTGCCACCCATGGCTAGGTCATTAAAGGAACAGAAGTCAGTGAACAGCTCTCCATTCTCGTTGCAGATGTCTATGCCGTGTCTACCCATGATGAGTTCTCTGTCTGTGTTGTCGCCTCCCACCTTGGCGTTCAAGTCACCCATGACGATGCACCCACTAACGCGCTGCATTAGTGGATGCATAACATTGGATGATAGTGGGTTCAACTGCCCTTGCAGACTTGCCAGCGAGCTGGCTTCCCAATGGCTTTCACTGGCACGCGTCATGGACCCCACTGAAGAGGAGTCTACCTGTCCAGGCAGTTGTTGGGATGTATTTGTTGTTGCAGTTTCTGTAGCATGACTTCTTTTTTTTAAGAGGATGGGGTTGCTAGACCCACGCCCAACCCTCCTCCTTTCTCATCCTGGACTTGACACCAGGCAATGGCGGAGTTGGAAAGAATCATTAAAAGAGCATAAAACTAAAGACAATAAAGATCTGCAGTCTGGGAGCTGAAGCCCCCCTAAGGGTCCTGTAGCATCCAGTCAAACTGAGAAGGCCAGAACTGATGGTTGTTGAATGACCTTTATTATTCCTTGCCGTGTATCAGACAACGAACCAACGTAAGAGCTAGACAAACAAATAAAACAATTACCATGTTATTTATGTAACAGCATTTTAACCGCTCATTAGGCTGGTCTAACCGTTTTCTATTAAACTATATAATACATGTTATGCATTTCAGATTGCTCAAATTAAATCATGTACATTACAAACCTTGTTCCCCTGTCGACTGTAGCTAGAACCATTCATTTTTGTACAATTTAACCATGTTTTTCTCTCCCTTTTCTCCATTAGCATTAGTTTTCCGTTTTCTTCCATCTTTTTTGTACATCAAGTTTGTTACCGTTACATCATTCATTTCCGGTTACACAGGAAGTTACCAAAATAAAAGCACAAGCATTATATTACGCGTATATGAGTTAGCTTTACATATCCGCCATTACAGGTCCCAATCAGTCTCAGTCCACTGAACTCCACCAATGGGGCCAGGCCGTCAGCGTCCTCCAGTAGTGTCCTCCGCCACTCCGCTCTGCTTCCGCTAAACACAGTGAAGCAGGAGCACCCATCCTAACGTACCAGGGATGTCTCTATACATTTTTACAATGGGACTTACCCCACAAGTGCAGAGCTCTAAACCCTGCCCGCAGCTGGTCTGTGCCTAAAGCGTTTTAGCTGGCGTCTTGCTACCACCTGGACAAAGTCTGCCATCCATGAACCGAAGGCCCTCTCTCCTTCTCCTGCGACTGCGGCCCTGCCCTGCCGCCAGTTACTGTTCCACGGCTCGTGCTGCCTACGGCTGCGTCCTTGCGCACAGTCACCTCCTGTGGCTGCGCCTCCCGCCACGCTCCTCCGTGGCTCTCTCCTTCTCCTCTGCGTCCGGCCACACCTCTCTTCTCTGACCTGCCAGGCCCTCCTATTGGCTGCTGCCAACAAGGGAGGCCTGATTGATTTCTGTCCCCTGTGCCCTCCAGGTGTGTCTAATTAGGGAAAGCAGGGGGTGGAGTCTCTCTGAAAGAAGATCCAATTAATACAATAAAAGCATGCAACACTAAAATACACTCAACATTAAAACACAACAAAGCATGCAACACTAGAAAAGAAATCCTTCTTCCCCAGATGACATACTTCTCTCAGTACATAGACCCTTTAACAGCAGTGAACTTCTTTGTGTAGGACATAAAGTTGAAGACAACATTTATTTACCAAATTAAAGCTGAAACATTTTGTTAGAATTCTAAGTGTGTTTACTGAAAATCAAAGTGTCAGTGAGTACAGTCTCCACCAATACGCACTCAGAAACTGGGGAAACTCACACAGGAAGTGGTCTGGCAGACCCAAAGCCACAACAGAATCAGAATACAGGTTTGTGAGAGTCAACAGCAGGTGTGATAGCTGGAGATTGCAGCTCAATAGTAGTTAAAGGGAGCAAGTCTTTGCTTCAGTTATACAGAGAAGACTGCAACATGTAGGTCTGACACGTTGAATTGCTAAGATGTCAGAAAGGGTGATTGTTTGGGCCATGAACCAAGGCCAATGAACTAAAGAAGATCTATAAGACCTCTAATAAGTCCACAAGAAGGGTTTATAGACCAATGAAACAAAATCTAATTGACTGCAGATGAATTACACCAAAAGTATGTGCTTCATGAGATGTATGATTTCTATTTTATATTAGAGCTTTAAATGGAGTTCACTGCAAAGGTATAATTTGTGTTTTTAAATAAATCAAAAAATCCTTATGAAAGTAATTGGATAAATTCTAATGCACATTTTAAAGCTCTTATCCAGTCATGGTATGTTAGTTTCATGTGTTTGCAACAGATGTAGCACCTTTTGGGAGGTTTAAATGTCTGTATTTTGGCCAAGTATAACTGACTGTCAGTGGGTAGCTAAGTTCAAGTATCTGGTACCTCTGCTAGACCATAAATTCCAACACATGAATACCATTACAGATGGCGTCACCGACTATATAAATATCTGCAAGTATACCATCATATCAAGCAATGACCTGAAGGCGTACTGAATGATAAGAAGAGGGTCATTAGGTCAGGGAACAAAGGGGAGTTGCAAAAAATGAAGGTGGAGTATCAAGGGAGGAGTAAGGAGATGGAGTCCAGGGAGCTGGTGAGGAGGTCTGTGAAGCAATCAGTCAGAAATCACCTCCTTCTGAATGTCAGCAACATAAAAGAGATGGTAAAGAGAGGGCAAAAGAATGTGACTAGGCCCATTAGAGTCATACAGTGGGGCAAAAAAGTATTTAGTCAGCCACTGATTGTGCAAGTTCCCCCACCTAAAATGATGACAGAGGTCAGTAATTTGCACCAGAGGTACACTTCAACTGTGAGAGACAGAATGTGAAAAAAAAATCCATGAATCCACATGGTAGGATTTGTAAAGAATTTATTCGTAAATCAGGGTGGAAAATAAGTATTTGGTCACCTCAAACAAGGAAAATCTCTGGCTCTCACAGACCTGTAACGTCTTCTGTAAGAAGCTTTTCTGTCCCCCACTCGTTACCTGTATGAATGGCACCTGTTTGAACTCATCATCTGTATAAAAGACACCTGTCCACAGCCTCAAACAGTCAGACTCCAAACTCCGCCATGGCCAAGACCAAAGAGCTTTCGAAGGACACCAGGAAAAGTATTGTAGACCTGCACCAGACTGGGAAGAGTGAATCTACAATAGGCAAGCAGCTTGGTGTGAAAAAATCAACTGTGGGAGCAATCATCAGAAAATGGAAGACATACAAGACCACTGATAATCTCCCTCGATCTGGGGCTCCACGCAAGATCTCATCCCGTGGGGTCAAAATGATCATGAGAACGGTGAGCAAAGATCCCAGAACCACACGGGGGGACCTGGTGAATGACCTGCAGAGAGCTGGGACCAAAGTAACAAAGGTCACCATCAGTAACACACTACAACGGCAGGGAATCAAATCCCGCAGTGCCAGACGTGTTCCGCTGCTGAAGCCAGTGCATGTCCAGGCCCGTCTGAAGTTTGCCAGAGAGCACATGGATGATACAGCAGAGGATTGGGAGAATGTCATGTGGTCAGATGAAACCAAAGTAGAACTTTTTGGTATAAACTCAACTCGTCGTGTTTGGAGGAAGAAGAATACTGAGTTGCATCCCAAGAACACCATACCTACTGTGAAGCATGGGGGTGGAAACATCATGCTATGGGGCTGTTTTTCTGCCAAGGGGACAGGACGACTGATCCGTGTTAAGGACAGAATGAATGGGGCCATGTATCGTGAGATTTTGAGCCAAAACCTCCTTCCATCAGTGAGAACTTTGAAGATGAAACGAGGCTGGGTCTTCCAACATGACAATGATCCAAAACACACCGCCCGGGCAACAAAGGAGTGGCTCCGTAAGAAGCATTTGAAAGTCCTGGAGTGGCCTAGCCAGTCTCCAGACCTCAACCCCATAGAAAATCTGTGGCGGGAGTTGAAAGTCCGTGTTGCTCGGCGACAGCCCCAAAACATCACTGCTCTCGAGAAGATCTGCATGGAGGAATGGGCCAAAATACCAGCTACTGTGTGTGCAAACCTGGTAAAGACCTATAGTAAACGTTTGACCTCTGTTATTGCCAACAAAGGTTATGTTACAAAGTATTGAGTTGTATTTTTGTTATTGACCAAATACTTATTTTCCACCCTGATTTACGAATAAATTCTTTACAAATCCTACCATGTGGATTCATGGATTTTTTTTTCACATTCTGTCTCTCACAGTTGAAGTGTACCTCTGGTGCAAATTACTGACCTCTGTCATCATTTTAGGTGGGGGAACTTGCACAATCGGTGGCTGACTAAATACTTTTTTGCCCCACTGTAGGTGAGGAGGTGGACAGCTACAGGTACCTGAGGTACACCTCATTTTATTTTCTCAGGAAGCTCAGATCCTTTAATGCAGCAACATCTTGGAGATCTTTTAGCAGTCTGTCGCAAATGCCATTTACTTTTCTGATCAATTCACAATGCTGGAACCATCACTGGCCAGAATCATTTTAGTCAGTGATGGACAAACTGCTTCCTATCATGTACAGCCCATCTCATCTGATCCATTCCACACTACTGACATAGTAGAGAGCCGTCTTCCTCAGACTTACTGAACTCCTCTGCCATAAAGAATGCTTCAGGAAATTATTTCTACCATTATCTATAAATCGATTCAATAAATCTGTTTTGTGTGTGATGGGTGAGGATACCTATCAACTATAAGATTCCATGCACATATTTCTGTGTTATACCTTCTTGCAGCTGTTTCTCAGATATACAATGTCCATATCTGTCGTCCATAGGCATAGACTGGGCCCCGCAGTCTAATCGCATAGTGACATGTGCCTCCGACCGCAATGCCTATGTGTGGACCCTGAAGGATGGTGTCTGGAAACCTACCTTAGTCTTGGTACGCATCAACCGTGCAGCCACATGTGTGAAGTGGTCCCCACTGGAGAACAAGTTTGCCCTGGGCAGTGGAGCCCGTCTTATCTCTATCTGCTACTTCGAGCAGGAAAATGACTGGTGAGCAATATAAGATCTCATTTAAAAGACTTGTGTTTGGTACATAAGACGTGATGATGTTGATTTTTTGTTAGTATGATAGGAATGGTTCTAACATTCCTCCTCCACTTTAGGTGGCTGAGTAAGCACATCAAGAAGTCAATTTGCTCTACAGTGCTGAGTCTGGACTGGCATCCCAACAACATTCTCCTGGCAGCAGGGTCTGCAGACCTTCACTGCAGGTGAAACTACAACGAAACCTGTGGTCGATCTTTGCATGATGAAGACACACAATGACTGCATCTTTCTCACATATTTGCACTTCTTATTTCAGTATAAATTTGTTTTAGACAAATCTTCAAGCCACACTGTTGCACTGGATCTTGCTCCTTGATTAACACATACTAATACAGTGGAATTTATTTTGATTTAATCACACTTACAGTCTTCTGTTGCCCTCATCAATGAGGGTTAGGATTTCCTTTGTGTAAATCCTAAGGGGTGGCTGTAGCTCAGGAGGTAGTGCACGTCATCTGCCAATTGGAAGGTTGGTGGGTCAATTACTGGCTCCCCCAGTCTGCATGCCAAATATCCTTGGGCAAGATACTAACCCCCATGCAACCATTGGAGTATGAATGTGCATGAGTGTGAGAGGCATAGAGTACTTGTGTGAATGGGTGAGTATGGGTGAATGCGGCGTGTTGTATAGAGCGCTTTGAGTACTCCAGGACAGTAGAAAAGCGCTATATAAGAATCAGTCCATTTACACAAAGTTTGACTAAGTCTAGAGTTAACAGGTGTTGGGAATTTCAGTTTAAAGCCATGATCAGGATAAAGAAGACACATTACTTTCATAGGAAAGTGTGCCAAATCATCTCTGGCAGTGCCAGTTTGACTGTTGTTTGGTGTCATTCATTGAACTGGATCATTGAAGTCTGAATTACCATACATAGCCACAACAGCCTGTTACCTCCTCCTAATGCTGGTCACTGGCTTGTTCACACACTGCTGTGGATCGGCATCCCATTCTTCAACCAGCATTTGGCACTCTTGCGCAAACATCGCATCCAAACTGATCCTGCAAATGTTCAATGTGGTTGTGGTCAGGACTGCAGGTAGGCCAATCGACCCACTCTCCTCCCGAGTTCTGGAGGTTTCTGGTAAACTGCGCTCTGTGGGGACGAGCACTGTCATCTTGGAGAATAGAGTTTGGTCCCGGACTGTGGAGATATGGGATTGCCTGGTGGCACAACCTCATCTCGATATCTCTCAGCATTGAAACTGCCTCCAGTGAGGAGAAGCCTCGCCACCACCATCGCACTGCCTCAACCAAAATCTCTGGCTGGTGAAGAAATCAGCTCAGTGTTCTTTGCGTCTTCACACTACCATACAATCCAACTGCTGTAGGCAGAATCTGGACTCATCGCTAATGTTCCTCCACATGTTCAAGTCCAGTGCATGTGTCGCCAGCACCACTGCAACTGGTCCTGACAGTGAAGGGCAGCCATAGCAGACCTCCTGGCTCGCCTGGCTGACAGGGTGAGGAAATGGTCTTCTTGGCATGCCCACTTCACAGCCTATCTTCGACATCCTGCATTACATGGAGCTTGACCATCAGTTTATAGATGGTACTAGGGCTCACGCTCACGCGAAATAATGTTGCAGCTCGGTTTTGCAGAACACCAGCTTGAATTTGCCTGATCAGTCAAACATGGCATACTTGGATGAGAAGCAAACTGACTGTTGTAGCCGGTGTTGCTAGTCTGGTGTCGATTAATCACCTTATTGTCACCAGAAGCTCAAAACAAAAGTCAGTAGCAGAATAAGTTTTCAACGGCACAGCCCAAATACTCGACTCTGCTGCATAAGTCACACATTCTCCTTAAAGATGTAGCACCATTTAAGGAGAAATAGACAACTGCCATCAAGCATCAATCTGCTTTTTGTGCTAAGTTTAATTTTATACTATATTTGCTTTAACCTAATATTGTTTTGTGTAAAAATGTTTAAATAATAAAAGTAAAAAGTCAGATATGTCAAGCATGAAAGGTTTTATGTTATAAAATAATGTCAGTACACTTGAACCAAAGATGTCTTATTCATTTTGGTTATGGGCCATACAGGCTTTATGGGTAATGAAAAAGTAGACAAAACACACTGATTCACTATTTAAGAACTAACAAAGAGATATTTGTGTTTCCCAGGATTTTCTCAACCTACATCAAGGACATTGAGGAAAAGCCCGGGCCCACTGCCTGGGGGGCCAAGATGCCTTTTGGGGAGATGATGCTGGAGCATAAAGACTGTGGTGGGTGGGTACACAGTGTTTCTTTCTCTCCCAGTGGAGACCAGTTGGCCTGGGTGGCCCACAACAGCAGCATCAGTGTCGCTGATGCCACACAGGGGAAGGAGTAAGTATTGCTACCCAACCACTTACTTCATTAATATGAGGAGTATTATTTTATTCACTTAAACATTTAGCCATTACTGTAAACCTTTCCTTGTATATAGGAGTGCCACAGGTGCATGACCTTATATCATTTCACCTGTTCGTCTGTTAGGGTAATCCAGCTGACCAGTGACAGCCTGCCACTGCTGAGCGTCCTCTATATCAGCCCTACTGAGATTGTTGCTGCGGTAACTATGCCCCGCTCCATGTGTTTGTCTGTGTAAATCAAAATTATTCAACTGTGTAAAGATGTAAAATCTCCATATTATCAATAGATTAAATGACTCTGAGTCATGTGAAAGGCATGTTCAAGACAGAAAGACAAAACTGAAGCCTTGATTAATAAAAGAAAAAGATTATACTAAATTGTGTCTGAGCTTTGCTGCTCCATGGCCATTGGTCACACAATATCACATTGAAATACCGAATATCCAAAATGATCAGATATGCTTTTGTGCTTTTTCTGAACCCAGGGACATGACTGTTGCCCCTACCAGTACACGTATAAGGGCCCACGCTCTCTGGAGTTTGTGAAGAAGCTTGATATCCCAAAGCAGACCTCCAAAGGGAATATGTCAGCAATGCAACACTTTCGCAACCTGGACAAAAAGGCCACTGACGAGGAAACCGGTGACCTGGACGCACTTCATCAAAACAGCATCACGTGAGGAATACTGCTTTTTAATTTGAAAAGGCACAATAACCTTGCTGAGGAGGTTCTGTTCTTAAACAACTGAGTGAAGGAAGCATGTTTTAAATATTTTATACTATTTGTCATCCTACAGCTCTCACCCACTTTATTTTCTGCCAACATTTCCAAAGCTGAGCGTTTCTTCTTCACTCACTATGTGTTAAAAGACCTCTCTCCGTTTAATCATTAGTTATTATTAATCTCTGGCTCCCAAACCAATCACAGCACATGGCCCCGCCCCTCCCTGAGCCTGGTTCTGCTGGAGGTTTCTTCCTGTTAAAAGGGAGTTTTTCCTTCCCACTGTCGCCAAAGTGCTTGCTCACAGGGGGTCACATGATTGTTGTGGTTTTTCTCTATTATTTACAAAGTAAAGTGTGCTGAGGTGACTGTTGTTGTGATTTGGTGCTATGTAAATACAATTCAAGTGAACTGACAAATTAAAATGGAAACTGATTTTAAAACCATCATTAATACCCGTTGATCTCACTTTGCTCACAGAAGAGCATCTGTTTGTACGTGTCAGATATTTTGTCTGTCCAAATATTTTCACCTTTGTTGTCATTTCCTTTCTTAGCTGTTACTTTGTGCTCTGCAGGCAGCTGCGTATTGTATCACTGGACAAAGCCAAAGTTGTGCAGTACAGCAGCGTGGGTCTGGATGGAGCTATGGTGATCTGGGATTTTAAGGTACTGTCTTCAGTAAAAATACAAAAAGATGAAGTGGATGTAGTAATTATTTTTGAAACAATCTTTTTTGAATCGCTCTGATGATGAGAAACTGAGCAAGCTCAGCTTACTGAAGTCGGGCTTCTCGATGAAGTAAAAGTAGGATGCACACATTTAGTGCAAATTTACCAATGTTTCTTAAATATCTCACATTACAGGCTCAGACCAGTTTTCTGATTTCAGATCTCCAAAACACTCAAAGTGATTTGTCGCTGCACTTGAATGTAAATTTGAATTGTTAAATTTGTTACTAAGAGTTATATAAACCTTAGAAGGCTGGGAAATATGAATTTCATGCCTGAGAGTATTAATGGGGATCCACACTGATAATACACTCAGGTGTATTGGATCTCTGTGCTCAGTGTTAGCCATCAGTTATAATGGAACAAGAAACACATAATTTGATGATCCTTGTGTGTCATTCAGATCTTAAAGGCTCATATGTTCTAATATGCTTTTGTTTTTGCTCTCCTTTGCAGCCCTGACTCCACATTTGTCCTTGAGCTGAGTCAGAGATCAAACACATCCTTGGTTCATTCATTCATCTGTGTTTTCCAGTAACTGGGAAATGCTGTTAGCACATGTGATTTGTGATATTTGACAAAAAACTAATTGTTTACTAAAATAAATGGGTAATGTATTGCCTGTTGTGGATCCACTGTGCTTTAAATAACTTACTCTGCCAGTACATATGGAGGCCAGTGTAGCTAATCCTGTGTTATGGCTGGTTTCCTTGACTTTGGGGTTTTAGACCTGCGGTCATGTATTTGGCGCAAACTGGACTTTAAATTCAGACCCAGCACACCAGAAGTTTAAAAGCTTTATTTACAGACTAAGTGTAACTTACTGAGAACAAACAGGAGACTGGTATGGCAAAACTGACTGTGGGAACTAAAGCAGAAGCTCATTTGAGTGAGGAGAAACAATGGTAGCTGGGACTGGGAAAAGTGTGGAAGACTTGCTAAACTGTTTTGGGTACATCTGGTTATCTCACTCGAGGGAGTTCCAGAACAGAAACTTCGGAGGGATCTGAGGAGAGCCCACAGGTTTCCAGACAGGGAGAGTGAATAAGCTGTTGAGTTATAGGTAATACGGTTATTAAGGCCCCATAATACTGGCTGGACTCTCGTTGCATGGGACCATCAAGCTTGCTGTGTTGTGGGTGTCTCACACCAATGTTGACATCACATCATGTGTCGCGTGATTAGAAAATTACCTTCACTCTAGTTGGATACCTTCAAGTGGTGATGTTCTGGTGACTAATTTCTAACTATGGAAAAGAATGAGACTAAATGACAGGTCTATGGTAAACGGCCTGTATTTGTATAGCACTTTACTAGTCCCTAAGGACCCCAAAGCGCTTTACACATCCAGTCATCCACACATTCACACACTGGTGATGGCAGCTGCATTGTAGCCACAGCCACCCTGGGGCGCACTGACAGAGGCGAGGCTGCCGGACACTGGCGCCACCGGGCCCTCTGACCACCACCAGTAGGCAACGGGTGAAGTGTCTTGCCCAAGGACACAACGGCCGAGACTGTCGGAGCCGGGGCTCGAACCAGCAACCTTCCGGTTACAAGGCGAACTCCCAACTCTTGACGAGTCATTGTAATGTAATGTTAAACAGGTCACCTTGTTGTATTTTATGATGTTAGGTGGTCAAATTCTCTAAGAGGCAGAATAACAACAGTACAACACAGTAAAAGAGACATATGAGTTGTAATTTGTACCTTGAAATAATGTGATGTATAAGAGAGCTAAATTCAACAGAGTTCAACAAGCTATGGAGACATTAGACACCTTTATTATTGGACTGTATGCCTTGGCTGAAAACAGCAACTATAGTGCTTTGCATGACAAATTTATCAGACATCATACAGTGGTAGGACTGAAGTAAACCTGCCTATCTGAGCTGCTGGATAAAGACTTAACTCTGCAGTCCAAAGCAGTCAACACAGCAAGGCAGTCTGAAGCCATTAAAAGTCAGCAAACTGACCTCACGGTGGATAATAACTGGGACACTGATCCAGTGACCATTACGCAGAAGATGTAAAAGCAATCACCACACAAAACCCTACATCAAACACCTGCTGAATGACGGCATGCTACAGATGTGCCAGCTTCCCCAACTATTGGAAATCAAGTAATGAGGTGACAAGATATAACTGCAGCAAGAGAGGACGCTACAGGAAAGTGTGTCCATGCTAAATGGACTGGTTCTTATAGAACTCTTTTCTACTCTGAGCTTTACATTTTACACAATGCCTCAGTCGCCTATTCCCTCAAGCACTTTTTTTCTATGCTCTTTCTATGTAGGTGCTTCTATGTACCATTCACACACATGCATACTCCGATAGAAGCATCAGAGAGCATGTTGGGGTTAGTATCTTGCCCACTGAGACTGGTGCACGCAGACAAATCGAACCACCTGCTCTACCATCTGAGCTACAGCCACCACAGAGCCAAATCTTCTGCTTCATCGCAAAAACAAGAATGTTCTCCCCCCCTCCTCCTCCTCTCTGGACATACAATCACTTGATGTCCAGCCACACCTTATCACCTTCTCCTTCTCCCACTTTTTCACATAAACACTTTAATGGTCAATGGTCAATGGTCAACTTTATTGTCCCTGACGGGAAATTGATTCGCAGTATGTCAAAAC